ATTGTACATAGGTTGAATATCACTTGTTAATATTTCGCAAGCTAAGTTTGGTAAAACAAAGCGATTTTCTGGGTTTTCATTTTCTTGGGGTTCTTGTGTAACTAATCGAACCAGTTCTAATGCAATATCAGGTTTTGTTAAACTATAAAAAAATTAAAATAATATTTAATAAGTAACAGAGTACGCAAAGTTATATTGACCAAGTTATATCATGCAGAAACTGAAAAGTACAATATAATTAGTTAATATTGAAAGTGTTTTGTTTAGAAAAAATAAAACATTTTGTAAATACTATATTTACTTTTTTTAACATAACATACTTTAAAAAAAAAAAAAAAACAAAAACAAAAATAATTATTTTAAATAGTATTCAAATAATTGTTACAAAAATAGATGTGGAGGATGATAAAAAAGAAAAAACTGGTAACCCTAAAACATCTTTTTAAAAATTAGCTTAAATAATTTAATTAAATGCAGAATAAAACATTAAAATAATAATAAAAAGAGTTGTAGTTTTTTCAAACTAAAAAAATATTGATTGTGTTTCACAATGATGATTACAACACAAAATGCATTATTTTCTAAATAAATTATAAATTCAGAAGAAAAATTTCAATATTTTTGAACATATACAATTATACCAACTCTCTAGATTTAAGTATTTTTTTTAAATAAATAAATTTTTATGGAATTTAAATATTAAATATTAGATAATATGTCAATCAAATACTTAACATGAAATTATAATAACTACAGAATATAACAATGTAATTAGTATAATTTATTCATTATAATAAATATATAAAAAAAAATTATATGTTTTAATTAAATTATAAACCTAGAACAAACTTATTTAGGATAGACTTTTTTATTGAATAACTGGGAGTTATTATTTTTATCTAACTTAATCATGAACATTTATTTCTTAACTAGTTTTCAAAATAACATTGTACTAAGTTTAAAATATTAATTTCAAAAAACAATCTCCAATATTCTTGTTATATCTAACTAAAAAACTTTTTTAACTAAAAGATACTAATCATTATACTCATAAAGTGTACATTATACTAATTTGGTCTATCTACCTAAACAAAAATTTGGTTGCTTAATAACAACAAATCCAAAATTCAAAATTTTTTACTAAAGAAAACATCCAAATCAAATTAAGAACAACTATATATTAAAATAGGTACTTACAAGTCTATGAGTTTTTTATTCTGGCCCTTAAGCTCTTCCAAGAGATTTTGTTCTCTCATGAGATCACTGAGGCACAAATTCTAGAAATTAAAATTAAATGAGCAATCAATTTCTACAGAAAAAAAATGAATAATGACATATTAAAACTTAATTATAACATAAATTTACCTCTCTGTCAAAAATAGAGTCCCAATTAGATGCTGGATTATTTTTCCAATACATGATGGATATCACAATTCAAATAAAAAATTACTAAAAAGTAATTAAAAAAATCACAACACTTATTAAAATTTAATATTAAAAATGAACTTCATACTAAATAAACAGATAACAATTTACTTGAAACCAAAATGTTAAATGAACTACTTCCAAAAATTTTGTTATTACATCTGGAAAATCCCTGAACGTCCGATATAAAACAAAGTTTAAATGTTTGTAAGCACTACTAAACATAAAATTGTACAACTGAAAACCTACATACGATGCTAATTTTTTATGAAACTAATTTATAAAAACGTAATATATGAACTTTAATACTTGATATAATATTATGAAAAAAAAAATTGTGAGAAAATTTAGAAACAAATACGTCGTATCAACTATCATGAAATGGCGGTCGTAAATTGTATTACAGTGTGCTCATATCTAAAATAATTATACGTATATTAAAATATTTATGAACATCACTGTATTATTAATACTTTGGTTTTGAGCTATTTGTGTGCTATTTACTATATAATATGTAACATAATCACAGAAACAAAAATGTATTTTTTGGTTTAACATAATAGTTTTTAAACAAAACGAGCTAGATTTATACAATCCAAAGGTTTGAAACACTGAAGAAATTTTTTTTTTATATCTGTGTCATTCTGCAAACCGAGAAATTGTGTAACAAGATTCATTTGATAACACGGCAGAGACGCAGAGTAGGTACTACTCAAAGTGGTGTTTAGATCTATCTGGCAGATCTGACTGATCTGAGTATTTTCATATTCTGTGGTATTTTTCTGTAGTTGTGTGTGTGAAATCAGTTACCCCTTTTTAACAAAATCTAAATAATTATTTTTTGAGTTGATTTCGTACGATCGCCGGCAGGGACACATGTCTAGTGGCCTGCAAACAAAAACATAAGAAAATGTACAAATTAAAAATTTCGGTAGTACCTCTAATGGCCAATGGGTGATCAAATATTAAACAAACTAAGTACATCTATCCACCATGACAACAACTATGTGTGATGTGTGCTTTTCTTAAGAGCTTGGAATGGGGCTATAAGCTATATTATAGCACACGTAATAATGTGTAACATTATATCATAAACGTGTTAAATTCGCCAATATTTAAACATTACCTACTATGTGAAGTGGAAATATAGGCACGTAAACACGTACCAATCATATTTTGACCACAGTATTTACAAGTTAAAAACTATTTATATTATAATAATTCTATTACATAATAAAGAAAAAATATCCCTTCTACATCGTGGTCAATACTCTACAGTTATTTTTGTAATGAAACAATTATTTAGATTGATTTAATTATCAAAATTAAAAAATATCAAATAAATCTATAAATTAAGTAAATAATTTTAAATTTAACCGAAAATAGCCAAGACTTTAAACAAGGTCAGAATTAAATTTGTTTTATATTTAAAAATCATTAAATACATCAATGAGACAATATTATGGCTGTGACTGCATGATCCAAACCCCGTTCCTTCGGAAATGTTTTATAAAGTAAAATTAATTTAGCAGTAAAAATTGACTGTTGTATCTATACCAAGAATAATTAAAAAATTTTATTAAATAAAAAACATTTTTTTTTTTTTTGTCAATCGAATCCCCTCTTTTTGCTTTTAGTTACGGTTTTAACAATTCCATTTAATATAATACAGAGGAAATTAAATTATATTTCATTATTTTCCTTTAGAGAAATAAAACTTTTTAATTTCATTGTATAAAGTAGCTCTACTTCCTTTTTTGAAATACCCACTCTTACCTATATAAAATTACTATGTAGAAAAAAGTTAAAAATATATATATTAAGTATAGGTACCTATGTTAAAATCTAAAATATGTACTGTACATAACTTACGTATTGTTTGAGAAAGTAATGGAGGACTAACTTATGCATCATTATTTTTTCTTTCTGCAGTAATCTGTGTACAGAACTGATCTTGATGTATTGATGCGTAGAAAGTACAAAAAGTTATGTCTCTAATATTTTATTATTCTACTATATATTTTATATTATTTATATAATATAATATATCATAAAACATAATAAATAATAATATAGATATTAATATATTATATAATCTCGCGATTATTTATGATTATGCACAATATTAATCTAATATATATATATATACCAGTATGACAGAAACTGCATTATTCACCGAGACATGATGATCACCTCTGTCATCAAGTTTGTTCGCAAACATGAGGCAATTATATATCAACATATCAATCTAGAAGCAATCCAATTACTAGATAACTTTCAAGACATAAGGCGTCTTAAACGCCTAAAACCATATGATATAGTATACGATTCTTACTTAGGCCAAAGCCACTACAATGGGAGTGAGACTTCACACTTTTGCTATCTTTTGTACATTAATACACAAAAGTATTTATGAACACCTTTTAAATGTATTGTTAAAGATCTTTGATCGTTATAATAAAAGCCTCTGGGCAGTTATAAAGTATATGATCATAGGTACAAAACTTATAACTTGACATCTGCCAATTAAAATGTAAAATATAGCTTATTAAATAAATTCCAGTTTTTTTAATATAATTTATTTTGGTAATCATTGTAAGAGTTTATAATCATTCGATTATGCAAAACTGTACGCCTTCATTATAACCACAGTTCATGTAAATTTCATGTTAATCTTGCCAAGTTAAATTTTATACTAAACATAAAATAGTTATTAATTTCAAGATAACATAATTAAATATGTGAAATTAGATTAACATATTTTAAGGTCTTTTACTTATATAATTTAATACATTATAAATATATTTTAAGTATATCTGCATATATTTTTGATATTTAATATGAATATTCAGTTAATTTTTTTTTATGATAGACAGAAAAATTTTAAGTAAATAAACAACCTACTTTTAGGGACCTTATGATTAATGTTTATAGAAAAAATTGTAAGTATTAAATATTTATAGCTTAAAAATATTTAAAATATTTTGAAAATTATATAATGAATAGAAATTGATTATATATTCAGTTTGGGAAATTTTTAAATCTAAAGATTAGTCATTTTTGAGTTACATCTACAAAATTTCTTTTTTTTCCCAGTTATTTTGAAAAATACTGCAAATTTTAAATTTTAACCTCTTAAAAATTTCATGTTGACTAATTTATATTAATTACATTCTAAATCCTGTTCAGAAAGCTTTTGAAAAAATATTATCCAATCAATTTCATATTTAAAATAAATACTCCATACTATAATTTAAATAAATAATATTAGCAAGAATAAAATATATTAAAACTAAATTTATAATAATGATTAAGGTAGATAAATGATTATTTATTATGATAATTCAAACAATTAAAAACACTTACAGTATTAAAAAGATATATTTAGGAAATATTCAAATTATCATTTACTTAATAGTTTACAATTTTTAACTCAACAAACTGTTTTAATTTAATAAGCATTAAAAAAAAAGTATATAATAAGATTTAATAAATAATAATCGTTATAATGGAATAAATAGTTTTTGAAATTCAAACTATTTTTAATTAAAAGCAAAATAATAAAAATGATATTATATCAATAACAATAACATTTTAATTATTATTAAAATTATATTTCATTAAACAATTTAGATAAATTTTCAGGAAGTGTCAATGACAAGCATTTATCCAGAAAATCTCTCTTATACATGCGCAACAGCTTAATAATTTCTTCTTTTGCATCTAAAAATAAATTAACATATAAATTATAATTAATTACAAATATTAATTGAAAATAATTGGTAAGTAATACATGTGTATTACATAACTTTTTCAACATAAACAATTAACAATATAGCTATTTAGATTTTAAATAATATTTTGTTACCATCATCATAACATTTTCTTTTATCACTCAATGTAACCAGAGATGCTTTAATCACAGGTTCAAGCATAGAAACCATATACGGATTGCCGACTTCAAATAAATATACCAAACACTTAAACACGGTTAAATTTTCAACAAAGTCTTCGTGTAATGGAAGGTAATTAATCATAACAGGTACCACCTTTAAAAAATAGTGCATTAATATTTTTCATATGAAATGTAAGAATTTTCAATTTGACTGTTTTTAAATGTCATAAATTGCTTTAAATTATAAAACTATATTACACACAATTGTCATACATTTAATAATTAATATTGATATTTATTAGTCATTAACTATTAAAAAAAAAACCTCATCAACTTAAAGTATTTTAATAAAAATTGAAACTTTTGTTATTAAAAGTTCATTTAACTGCTAAACATAGAAAAAATTAAATTAATACAAGTGTTACATTTAGGTTTTTGAATTAAATATATTTACATGATCAAGAGGAATTCCTTCAATGTTAGTAATTATCATACGTGCTAATGCTCCATAAATGTTGTCTAATACTTTTGATCGCTGTTCTTTAGTAACCACTTGTGAAAATGTATTTAATATTATCGGATAATACCTAAAGTATTATAGAAAAAGAAATATTATTTTTAATTATTATAGTTATTATTTATAACAGAATGTTAATCCAGGAGAAGTAGTACGATAAAAGTTATGGTCATATGAGTGGAATAAATAAATAATAAAACTTTTCGACTAAGAATTAATTAACATTTTTGTAATAAATTGTATTACAGTATTCATTAAAGGATGTAGATAGAATAAAAAAAATGAAGTTAATTGTTTGAGGATACCACACCTGATATGTTGTTTCTATCTTCCAAACATACAAAAACTAAAATAATAAACTATTTACTTTCAATATATTATTAGACACTAAATGGCGTTAAGATGTTGCTGAATGATTCTCATGGCGCCAATTGGCATCAGTATGTAGTTAAACTTCTTGAAAAATTAAATATAATAATTTAACTAAAGAACTCAGATCATGTTTTTACCTATAGATTTAATAAAGTCATTACAGTCTAATATTTAAACTAAATTCATAAAATTGGTTCTATTAAACAACAATTTGCCATGTTATACATTCATAAGATAAAGGAGACAACATGTGTGGGTGTAGTGTCCTAATATTTTTAATATTTTAATATTGCAGGATAAACCAGAAAATATCAAGGAAAACACTGATGCTACTCCTCCTAGACTAAAAATATATAAAGCATAATTTAATTTAATTACTAACTTGTACACAGATTCTTTGCCATAAAATGCAATTTCTCCTAATGCAAATACAGCATTATTCCTCACAGTATCATCTTCATCTTCAGCAAGTGGTATTACAAGTGGAAACATTATTTCACACAAACCACTAGCATTTTCTCCTAAGCCTTTAGCAGATTCTCCAGTTATAGCTAACCCAGCAGCTCGTAATAAATCAGATGATTCTTTTGACTAGAAAAAAATATAATTCGTTTACATTTACATAAACTAGATAAAATCAATCACTAAATTTACCATTAATTTTTTTAACAAAGGCACCAATGACAAAAAATATTCTGTAAACACTTGTGGAGGAAGAACATAGCTTAAATTTGAGACAACATTACCAGCATATTCTATAGGTAATGTATCATTTTCACTATCCAGTTCATCCAACTCACCAGGATTATTTGCATCACCTATCTGAAATTAATTAAAAATATAAATTTTTGCATAAATATATATGTTGAAAACAAAGTTTGATCATAAAACAAAACAAGGTTTTATTAGTTATTGCTAGAATTTACAAATCATACAAAGTAAAAACTGAAAGGATAATTAAGCCAATAACATAAATCCTATCAAGTTTTTATTTTAAACATTTTCAACAACCAATGATATTCATATCATAACAATGAAAACAAATTGATCCATAACAGAAAAATAATAAGAATTTTCACTAATAATTAAAAATTTAGAAATATATTATATTTAATTATAAATTTGTGCAAATACATATCTTTGTATGCTTAATAAAATAAAATATTTATTATTAAATACCACAATAATATACATTGCTCAAATTTTTGTTTATAATAAACATCAATAGTTTGGTTTAATAATATAATATACAATATATTTATAATTTAATATTTGTTTTTATATAATTTTAATTGTTAGTAAAAAATTATATCAGTTCTTTATTATAGATGATCTGCTTTTATCTTCATAATTAATAAATTTTAAGTTATACTGAATGTTTTCAATAAAAGCACAATTAAAAATACATTTCAGTATGATTAGTAAATATTAGTAAGACTGAACTTCACCTAGTAATGTCACTTATCAAAAATATATATTTATAAATTAATTTAAAGTAAAAAATATTTAATTGATATTAAAAATAACTTAACAGTTAAAATTCTTACTTTTAATGCTAATATAGATTTAGCAAGTATCATAATTGGTTCAGCATATTTTATCATCTTGGTTTTAATTTCTTTTAACATATCAGCTAATACATCCAAGTATACTGAATCCAAAGCCGGAAATCCATCTTCTTGTATTTTCTTCTCTCCATATTTCAAAAAGTTTTCCAAAGCTTTTTCTAAAGCTAAATAAATATATTTAGTTAATAAAATCTTGATAAACACTGATTATAAATATGGTAAAACTCTTCATTGTATTTTCAAAGACCATAATACAATTTGTCTTTTTCTCTAAAAAATTATTTAACTTAAAATGTCATATACAGATCTAATCAAACTTCTAGGAACCAATTTATTTTTTATTTTTTTGAGATATTAATAGAGTTTAATATCTTATATAATATGTAAAAAGTTATCTACCACACAACAAATTACCTATTTTAAAATTATATTGTTGATTTTTTTTATTTTATCTTATAAATATTTTTAAACTGAAGTTGTGGGTGAAACAAGAATTCAATATATCAGTTATTCATTATTTGAAAACTTAAAGAGTGAATTTCTTTAAAATTTTAAGAATTAATATAAAAATTTTTACTTTGTCTCATAATATTTAAAGTATAAATAAAATGTATAATATATAACATATTGAAATTAAAATTTCAAAAATAAACATAAAATAAAATAATAAAAATTTGATAACATAATTAAAAACAATAGTAATTTATTGTGTGAAGTTAGAAAATGTTTGTGATAAGATAGAAAAATATAGCCTACTCAACTCAACAATATCTAGCAGCTTTAATCAATTCTTTATAATTAATTGAATAATGTGAGTAGCAAGGTAACATATTTATATCATATTTTAGGAATTGAATATATTTTTAAACTTAATGATGATATTATGTGCTGTTATATTGTATAATAATAGATTATATTATAAAAACCAAAATTGAAATATTAAATAATTATTATTTACATTATAAATGAAATAATTTAATCAATCCATTGTACAATAGATCTTAAGAATATAAATCATAAGATTACCTAATTTAAAAACAAACTTACATTCTTGGCCACAATTGTCCGGTAATTTTGAAAAATATATACAAATTTGACTATATAATTCAAGTACAGAATCAATAGTGTCTTCATCATCTTCTTGTAATAACTTTGATACTATTTCAAAGCTATTATTTAAATATGGAAGAAATTGATCCCTATTTTAAATACAAATATATAAGATAAAGTCAAATAAAATAACTAATTATAATGATATGTTATGTTTGTAATAAATACCCAGTGCTTTGAGCAATTTGAGCAATTGTTTGACAAGCATTATCTTTTTCTTCCATTACATGTGCGTCAACATAAGCAACTGATACAAAATATACAATTATATATATATATAAAAAATACAATAAAAATAGTTTAATTACTCACAATCATCACTATCAGCATCATCACTACCATCATCTTCAGTTATTAGAGATTCATCTTTATCATCATCATCATCATCATCATCATCATCGCTACTATAGGCATTAAATTTTTTCTTCTGAAAATAAATATATACTTTAATTTAAAAAAAATTGTTTCATTTTAGAAATAAACAAGCTATATACCTCCAGATTAAAACTATTATCAGCAATTAAGCTATTGTCCAAACTTTTCAAAACATGTTGCATTACAAGATCCATGTATGGTAACAAATGATTAATAGATACTCTAGCTATAGAACTGAAAAGTCCATAACATACTGCACGAACCTCAGGTTGATCCTCTTTTGCTTCTTGCAATAAAGCCAAACCACATTTTAAACTAATATCCAAATAGGGTTCAAATACTTTTGGATCAAGAGCAGCCGCAAACTCAGATAATAATTCTAAATTATAAAATAAAGTATATATTTGAAATATATTTTTAATCATTAAATTAGATAAATAATAATTAAATAAATACTTACGAATGACCATTATCTGCAAAGTTTCTAGTTTTTCTTCTATTCCAGGTTTCAAATAAGCATCAAGAATTTCCATGATTGGGATAAAGTAAGGGGCTGTAGCATCACCTCCAGACTTAACTATAGTCAAACATTTTTTTTAAATGAGTACTTAATACTAAATTGAAACTAAATTATTTTAAAATAAAAATAAATATACCAATGCTACACATAATAGTAATTGCTTTGTCTTTAAGTTCAATACAACACTGTTCATTTCTTATAATATCCAATACAATAGCAGTCATTTCTGGTAAATATTCATCAATTCCACCTTCCATACTATCAATAAATTTATCAAGTGCATAAAAAATCATACGCACTTCAGAACTACATTCCGGCTTAGTGTATTCAACAATTAATTTTTCTTTGAACATTTTCATTAATTCTGGTAGTATTTCTGCCGCATACGTACTAACTTGTGGCTAAATTAAATAATTATTAATATAAATTTGATCAAATAAAAAATTTAATTTACTAACTTGAACATATTGAGAAACTTCTCCTAAAGCGTACATAGCTGCAGATTTAACAGTTTCATTTGAACTATTTAATCCCATTTTAATAGCTGTCACAAATTGCTTAAGATAATTCTTTTTCAGGTATTCAGAACATCCATCTGAGACAAAAGCCATTGTAGTATAAGATGCTCTAAGTGCATTAGGATCTTGAGTAGTATAAGCTGCATCAATCAATTTTATCTAAATACGATAAAATAACATAAAATTCAATTGAATATATCATGTGCATGCATAATTATTTTATTTACTCGTGAGACATTTTATTAAAATTCAAAAAACAGTAGTTCCAGTAGCTAACTAAATAGTAATAATAATATCAGGATAATATATATGCAAATAAAATATTTAGAAATGGCAAAACAATCCAAGGCTTTATATATACTCTATCCAATTAAAAAAAAATGATGATTTTATGCATCCTTAAACAAGACTCTACCATTGAGACTAGTTCTACTATAATGGGTTGTCGTAGAAAATTAAATTTTGAAAACAGCAGTGTATTCTTTTGCTGAACAGGGTATGTATTATTCAACACAAATTTGATTATATGTTGAAAAATAAAATATAATTAAAAAATAAATGGATGGTAATCAACTCTGTTCCAAGGATATGGATGGCAATGTAAAACATCATCTTTCTCAACTTAATAATATCACTAAAATTTTCAACTACTTATAATTTTACAATCTTATATTATGAGGAATGATTTGTAATAATTTAAACTGAGAAAACAATTCCTAAAGGTTACTAAATTTGATCTAGTTTATTTGTCATTGTTGTTTTAATTCTGAAAGGAGCGATGTTTTTTGTAATTGTAAACATTAGGCAATCACCCTATACTTTTTATAAATAAAACATTTCTGCAGTACCAAAAAATAATAAGTGTATGAAAATAATTAACAATAATGTTGTATATAATTAGTTGTGGATAAATATAATGATTGAAAAATTCATTAAACAAAATAATATGATTTATAAATAATATATTATTACATATTTTACTTCAAAACACAGACATGCATATAGGATATTATTATTATGTTCCTAATTTAAATGTGTATTGTTTTTATATAAGATAGATGTGAAAAAATATTTACTAAAACGTGCAAATTGTTTGAAATAGACTAATAGTATATAGGTACTCCACAGTTCAACATAAAAAGTGGCAACAATTAGATTTAATCAAGCGATCAGGTTACTATTTTATGTCTTTGTCTATATTAAATAGAGTATAAAAATAACAACTTTATTGTGGTCTGAAAATGATTAAGTATTCCCTTTTATGGATTATTAAAAAAATGCCTTTGTTGATTTAATAAAATTTCTCTATGAAAAACTTACTAATATAGGCATAAAAGTAGAAGCAGATAATTCATCAGCAATTGCTGCCATACATTCACCGGCAGCACTCATCGGGTTTAAAGCATATTCTTCTAAAAACCAAGTGTCATCATCAGTTTCTTCACTTAAAATACTGAACATTAACTCAATTACGGGATTCAATAAATTCAACTTTACTAATACCTATAAATGAAACATAAAATATGTTATATTTAACAAATTTTAAAAGTACTTAATAATTAAATTTTATTTTAATAACCAACTAAATCAAATTTTAAATTAAAACTAACTATGAATACATTTAAATCTAAAACAAAGTAACATACAAATTAAAGTTAAGTAATATAGGTACACGTAATTATTCATATGTTTCATATTTCTTATTATTATAAATACATTTTAAAAGCAGCTTTATTTTTTAAATTTAATTATTAATATAATCTTACATTAAAATGTACTTAAAACGTTGGTCAACATAATAGTAATATTATGAAAATTATAATTATTTAAAAAACAGTGGTGGTATACAATTTTTTATATTTATTATTCTAACTATAAAAGCAATTATATTTCTAAAGAAAATAACTTACCTTCTTCTTACTACGGATAATAGTTGAAATTAAATTTATACCATTACATCTCAAAGTTTCATCTATATTTGTATTGCCAGCCAGTTGAGCAGAAACTTGAACGATTGGTTTTAAATGTGGTATTAATGCTTGAATAGAAAATTCACACATTGACCCAAGTAATTCAAAACAATCACATGCATGATCTGGATTTGTTGTTGATAAGGCAAGTATGACTTCTAACACACGCGGTACAGACTGTGAATAAGCTTGAATAACCTAAAATACATTTTTTCTTTAAAATACTGTCACTAATTATTCAATTACTTTAAATACCTGTGGAACTTGAATAGATAATTCTATAATATTATTCATTGAAGAAATAATATTATAAACAACATCTGAAGTACAATCGTCAGCACTGTTTAATGTTTGAATAAAATAATCCACAAATGTTGTTATATTGGACTCAAACATTTGAGGATAGTAATCAGATAAATTTTTAACCACAAATGAACCGAACTATAAAATAAAACAATTAATTTAAAATATATAAAATAGTTTAATTTACAATGTTTTTTAAAATACCTGTCTTTCATTTACATTGTTGCTTTTAATACATGATTCAATAAAAGCAAATAACTCATTCCAGTTTCCTCTCATCAATTCGTGCTTAGCCAATACAGCAATAAATTGAAGAATGTGCTTTTTAACTTCAATACTAGGTTCATCAATAATTGTTTTCAGCAAAAATTGTTTGATCCTATGTTTAAATATTAAAATAAATGTTTACCTACATAATATAGTGTTATAATAAACCATAAATAAAAATTTAACTTACTGTTCACGAAGTTCTTGAGATAAATTCATCCATGCATTACGTTTGTACAATTTTTTCCTTAATATGAGAGCTGCATATTCCTTTAACTTGTCATTTTTACTAGAACTAATCACTGTACAAAGAGTGACATATGTATGAGGATTTTTTAACGCCAATGTCAATTCATCGGTGGCCTATATTAAAATAATTAATAATAAAATAATTTAATATTTTTAAGTATTAAACCATCGAATAGAAGAAATTTTAATTTTTTTAAATTTCATCTAATCTGTAATTAAATCATTTTGTACTAAGATATTTACCTGTTTTATAACTTCATTATCCGGCGCTAATAAACGCGTCAAAATACCCTCTATTTCAGTGATATCCACAAACATTTTACTTATAAAATCAAAAAATTTTAATAAAGATATTAATTGAAAATTAAAAACAAAAATCGCATGGAAATCAAGTTTTCATGAGAAAAAATAAAAGAACGATCATAGAAAAACACATGGCCCAATATGTTGTTATCAATTGTCGTTTTTAGCCGAATTGGTTAATCCTGATAAATAAAATAGTTCTACCAATCTTATAATAATGGAACCATAGTACCAACGTAAGCTTATTAATTAATACTCTGAAAACCGAGGGCCAATAATTTTTTTAAATTGTGAGTTAAGCTATAAATGCAATAATTGATTCTTTTATTATCTATAAATGGATTTAATGGTGTGTTCATTTTACGTAGATGTGTTATAATTGTCTGCGTTAGTATTTACACCTTATCTGACAATATAAATGCTTCGATTTTTAATGCTAGGTGTACTTTCTGGTAGTAAACTATATTTAGTTGCTATTTATGGAGAAAAACAAAAAAAAATAAGATGAAGAAAACAAATTTTTTATGGAAAGCCAGTATTCAGCATGAGCGTTGTTTTTTTATAAAGCAAAAATGAAAAACTGATGTACTTAAAATTATCACCAAAAGTTTATACTCGTATTTATATATTTGATCAAATTTTCAAAATATTCTATATTTTTTTGGAAGATGATTTATGAACATGTGAATTTTTTCTCTAGGCCAAAAACCTTAAAAATGTATTACAAGGTTCCACTTAAATAGTTTGTATAACAATACTTTTGAAAATAATAGATAATAATTTTATTCAAAAGCAATTTTGACATTTTGTTTTTGCAATAATTCTAAAGGGAGTAACTATATTAACTTACTTTGTTTACTTTTTTATGTTATTTATAAACATATAATTATTGTTATATTTTTTTTAAATAAAATTTACAAGCATAATTTAATGTTTCTCATAAGTCATACTTAAAGTAATTAAAAATACTTTATAAGCACAATTTTTTAATTTTTTTATAAGTGCTAGTAATTACGATCAATATAATGAAAGAATATAAATTATTTTGTTGATAAAAAAATTATGATAAATAAAATAGTATAATTTAAAATTCAGCATGAAATAATTACAAAATTATCTGTAGTTTTATATTTTTATAATCGATAAGTGAGTTACTTGAACTAAACATAAATGTACATCGTAGGCAAGTTCAATGGTTTTGATGGATATACTAAAATAATACTTCATTTCATTTTTTTATGCAGTGACAATATTTTTTAAATTAAAAAAGTAAAATTAAAATATCATTAAAATTTGGTTTTCATTAACATTATAAAAATTACATGATATTCAACCATAAAAGTTATCTATTCTCTAGGCATCTAGTTTAGTTTCTACTCATGTTCTAGTATACAATAAATAATATAATATTTTAATGACTTTTTGGGAACATTCATGATAAATATAACCTCGCCTATGATGTACATTATATAAATTTTATTTATATATATATATTATATAATAAAATATGCAAATATGAACATAACAGTAATAACATAAATATATAAAAAAAAAAATAACTAAAAACATATCTTTTAAGCAGTGTTGTAAGTACATCTAATAATTAATAAACGATAATTTTTTTTTACTAATGAATAACATTTATATTATATATAAAAAAAAATACTTTAAACAATTTCAACTTTAGATACATACATAGAAATTATAAATATATATATAATATACTTTTTTTATGTAGATTAACAAAATGGAGTAACTGAAGTACAATATGATAAGTATAATTTACACTAACACACTTATTTAGAACCCCAAACAATGGTCAATATAATTATGAATAATATCACAGCACAAATTACTAATAAATAGAATCGTTTTTTTCTGAGTTTGTTCTATAAAAAAAATAAAAAGTAATTATATTTATTGACAGATAAATTCTAGGGTACAATTTACTTACAGTGTAATCAGTTGCTCGTCTCAACTGACCAGTTGCTTCTTGAACTGATACATTAGTAATTTGTACATTAGCTTCAATACTATCAATTATTTCACCTTGATTATGAACTAAAGTACCAAGTTCTTTAAAAATTTGATTAACATCACTTATGTCGTTCTAAATAATAAATAATTATTTTAACATGAATTAAAATAAATAGTATACAATATTATTAGTACTAACCTCAAGTTGTCTAATAGCTTGTTCTTGTTCAACCACTTGTAAATTTACTTCATCCAAAATTTGTATCTGAGTTTGATCATTTTGGTTTTCATTAGGGTTTGAATAACCTAATTGACAATATAAATTATACACTTATTTAAAGTTACAAGTAAGGATATTTAATTAAAATCTCACCATTTTGATATTTAGAACCAGGTGGTGGAGCTAATTTTCCAATAGATGAAGATGCTTTTGTACGTTTCATTAGCTCTGCATTTTCTTTATCATATGCTTTACGTTGAATGGCTTGAAATGCATTTAAAGCAGATGTAAATGATTCAGCTAAACGTTCTTTTTGAATTTTCAATTGTCTCTAATAAAATTAGTCATTCATTAAATAAGATGCAAATATTTAAATTTCAGTTATACATACCTGATCTGTTTGTGAAGAATATGATCGTATTTCATTAAGTTCCTTTAAATTATGACTAGTATCTTTAGATAGCTGTTGAGTATAATGTGATATTTGATGTCTGTAATATTTTATATGTTTATAGTAAATATTTAAATGAATTATTTATAATGCACATTTAACTTACAGTTGTTTTCTAACTTCTGTAGCATCTTGTACAGTATTTAATTGATTTACCATTCTATTCATGGATGAAACTACAATAAAATTAATAAATTAGTATCTTACTTTAAGTTTATTCTATTAAATGTTTAACTGAATTTATAAAACAATAAAATCAAAATTTGGAATTTATCAGTTATAATACCTAGAATATGTAATACAAAAAATAAAAGAATAATTATTGGTTTCCAGGCTAATAATAATCTATATAATTGAAGCATTTATTAAATAAAAAAAAAAAATTATTGGTTTTTTATATAGTTGTAGATTTATTATTCTGAGCAGTAAGTGGGTTGAAGAAACCATAAGTAGCAACAGTAATGTAGCATTGGGTTAATTAAGAGGTGACCATTTCAAAGGTTTTTTAGGGGTAGTGGGTAGATAATGATTAAAACATCATAATTTAGTATTTACTATAATATGTAGTTAAAAATATGACATTATATTCCCTTAGGTACCTAGGTGGAATATTAGATTAAAACCTGAAAAATTATAAGTTGGATGCCATTGAATGACAAACACAGATTTTAAGACAGTAAAAGAATTTGAGAAGTTGCAATTCAAGCAAAGATAATCATTGTTCAAATATTTAATAAGTTTTTTGAGAAATTGTGTAAAAAGATCTGTATACTGTAGACATGTAAGAAAGCAACCAATTTCATTTGGTAAATTTTGATTTATTTTTTTTTTAGTTAACCAACATAAAATTGTTTTTTTAATATACATTAAAATGTTAATTAATAAAATTAAATAAAAATACTATCATAAGAGGCAGACCAAGTAGACAGTGGTGTGACTACATGTAAAATTTTTCAGAGGCAAAAAAAAATTGTCCTCCCTCAAAATAATAGAAATTAAATTCTTTGTTATTAAAAAAGTGTGGTAAGCTCTTTTCCCTCCTAAACATTGTTATCTCCCAAGACAACTGCCTCTAATGCCCCTGCAGTATCTACATTACTGAAAGTAGGATAAATGCCAAACATTCAATCAATAATCAATTAAAATTGTAGTCAAAATTTAAATCAAATTTCAACTTTTACACCATTCGATAAAATTATCTTTACTGATAATTTGCTAAATAGCAGAAAATGCATATACTTAACATAACCTGTTCTAAACAGGTAATAATTATGATTAAGTTACTCAAATGTTAACAAATTCATAATTATTTGTTTAAAATAGTGGTGCACAATAGTTATGTATGATATGTAATAACTTAGTCTGGGGCTATATATATAAGAGAAAATAGTCCCAACTAAATCTTCTAAAGCAACTAGTAAATTTTTATCAATTATTTTATTTTAAATGTTAATGAAATTTTACTAATAAAATATACAAATACATCAAAAAATGTTTGTAATTAATCTATTTTATTTTATCAAATCATAAATACATATACATATAGATATAATATATATATATATATATTATAATAGGTATAGCATTTTATTTGAGAATATCGTTAATCTCTATTATATGATAAGTTAATTTATCTTAAATAAATTAATAGTTACAATCACTTGAATAAATACAATTTATCCAAGATGGAAAATTATATTATTTCAAAATAGAAGTCATCTACTTACTACCTCACAGTCACAATATAACAATTTTATTAGTTAAATTTAACTTATGCAATTTATTTGAAATAGAATTAGTCTACTGCTAGTTTATACTGAAATATCTTCATTAAATACCTTGAAATAAAATATTTTTATGATTCTTTATAAATTATTAAGGAGCGTTATACTTATATTAACTGAATTAAAAATGTCTTTATCATTCAACATCAAACAGTAAAATAATAATATGATTAACAAATTTTGAACATTGATCGTACCATTCGTACCAATATTTTAATTTTGCGTATGGCGCTTATGTTCGAGAGTAGACCTGAAAGCCTAGTTTGGGCACTTATTTGGCAGAATTTTTAGTTGGGCACCCGTAGGTTTCTGCCATACCCGATTGGGGGATGGCGGCCTTGCTACCTAGACAGTTTCCTACCCAGAAAGCGATGCCGCCCGTAGCGGGGATTAAAATCAGCGACGGTATATGTCACAATCGATGCCTTAGTCCACTCGGCTACTCCGTCCCCCATTTAATAATTAGAAAGTAAAAACATTAACCTGTTAATTATTATCTACCTAATTTTAAATTAATAATAAGAATATTTCATAAAAGCATAAAACATAAAATGATCAGGATGATTAAATTTAAAAATACATTTAAAAACGTTGAATATATTCTTACCATTTTGTGATATTTTCTGAATATTGGTGCCGATCAATTGAGCCAATTTCTGAAAATCTTTTTCACCTCCATTGCTTTGATATGAATTTCCATAAAAGCTGTCCATTGTTATTATATTGCCTAATTTATCTTGCAATAAAACTTTAAAGTTTAATACGACACAGTCAACAAATTATAATAAACAAAATGTTCACTGTTTAATGTAAAAAGTATAAAACTATTACTGTTATGTTATCTCAAACAAAAAAATTGAAAAAGTATATTTTTACAAAACAATGTTGTAACTTGTAATAAGTTGCATTGATGGTATAGAAGTGATTAATGATGCATTATAGACAATTAATAGACAATAACAAAATATCATTGACTATAGTAGAAGTGGATAGTCACAGTAACTGTAATGTAGTAAGACGAAGGCGTACTAACACTACTAACTAGTAACTACTATTTTATTGTGAATGATAATTGATAAATTATTATCTATTGTTATCAATAGTTAGAACCACTCAACCACCATGATGAAAATAAACATATGTTTCGTAAAATGAGTAAAAACTAAAAGACAAAAGTCATAAAGAAATATTTTATAGATCAACGATTCGTGGACCTTAAATAATAAATATTGTGATGTTTTAAATACTAGATAGTACCTATAATCTATCACGAACACGGACCATGAACAATTGAACAAAGATTTATTCTAAATAAATATATTATCTATAGAAATAGGTTGGCTATAGTTCGTGGTATCTACATCTATCCACAGACTCATATTTATTACAATATTTAGTATTTACTATTTACTGTTTAGGAATTATTTGTATTAATACTATTAATATTAAACATTATAAATTAAAAATCAATAACCGAATAATTGTAGAAGAAATAAAAAATGTATTATTTAAAAAAAAAAAGTTTTTATAATGTAATAAATTAATATTTAAAAAATAATAATAATTAAAACATTTTAATGTTCTTCGTGAATCATGATGTAGAAAATTGGTTCTTTAATAAGTATCATGATTTTTGACGTTTGAGGTTATTACCTATATGTATTATGTATATAGTATATAGGTATAATATATTTCCAGTTAGAAATTGTGTAGCAAATTACAAAGAATAAATTTTTATCGTTGGAAACAAGCATAAACGTAATTAAGACATGGCCGATTAAATTTATACCTACTAAGTTTATAGAAATAAGAAAATTGAATTATGAAAAGATCAAAATACTGAAAACTTAAAAAAATTAGCCACAAGTTACCCACTCATCCCCAACGAAATTGAATATCTAATAATTGTACTAGAAGCCATGGTAAAAATGATTTTGACATCGATCTCTACATCATAATATATTGGTACACATATTAGGTATCTGTATACCTACATGACACATTACACTTTTATGATTTATAATATTAGTGTATAATATCTTTATTATATTATAATAATTAGATCTATATTATTATTTTTTAAATGATAATAAACTAATAAAAATTGTTTGAGGATAAATCATTATCTATATTATACCTACATTTGAAATACCACAATATCATCAAAATGTACCTAAACTTCAAACGAATCAAACGTTTTTAAATACCTAGTTAATAGGTACTTTGTTACGCTAAATTTTAATGAGAAATTTTTGACTAGATTTTAAAATTTCCGACGAGCCGTCCCTGTTTAGGTTGTACTGGTTGTAGTCATAATGATGAACACTAAAAAATAAACATATTCATCTTCCTAAACTTAAAAAAAAAGGTAAAATGTATTAATATGTACTTTATGACCTTTATGTAAATATTTGAATTTATATTATTTTTTTAAGTATTATTCATATACCTAGTTATCTATACATTTTGCGTAGGTGACTAAGTGAGTTTAAAGTTTAAACTAAATTTACAAAAATTGATTATATTTCATGACTCATGTGTAAACAATTCTATACACACCTATATACCTAGCTATTATATTATGCTCCTGCGTTACAAGGTGGTCTGTTTAAATTTCAACAATTATAACCTAGGTACTCGAAAACTTTTTTGAAAATATTATTTTTATATAATTTAGCTTTATTGAAAAACAAAAATTTAAACAACTTCGGATTACCTACTTATATTAATAAGTAGGTATAATGTGTTATACTACTAACATAAAAATCAATTTTCAAATGAATACGAATACCTACCTACCTACCCAGTTAATGTTAATTAATTATAACTTGTAATTTGTATAAATATTTTAAGTTTAAATTAGCGGAGTAATTAACTAATGTTTTAAAGGAATATACGTTGCGCCATTATACTCGACTGATTAAAATAAATAATTTATACTAAACGCTAGGTATATAAGAACATTCTGAATTCTGATTGCGGTAAATAAATATTAGATAGTTACCTACATAATTGACTGAAATAACGAGTTATTTTCGAATTTTAAATATTTTGATAACCAAGGGAAAATCTGGAATTTTAGCCTCTCTCATCATTAAATATGAGATTTTTTTAAATCCTCCGTAATACCTAGTTGTATAATTTTTATTGAAATTCATAATCTCCTATTGAAAATCGCGCCACTTCTACTACTTCGATCGACTCCAAGTATAGGTATCAAAATTTAAGAATTTAAGATACCTACATAGGTAACATCTTAAATCATGATAAGTACCTACTAGATACCTAATACCTATGTAATACAGTAGTCATACGAATGAATTTAAAATATGTACATTACACTAATAATTAATCATTACTATTTTATATTTTTACCTATAAATATTTTAAATTATAAAAAGTATTTTAACAAATATGATTATATATATTTAAATATTTAACTATATATCTATCAAAAAACTTCCATTAATATTTAAGAATTTAGAAAACGATAAAGAAATCAGATATAAACCTATCTATCTATGTAAGTATTTAAAAATGCTTCAAAAGATTAATTTTATTCTATCAATACCAAACAAATAATGGCATTATTTTACAGTTATTTATAGTATAAAATATTACTGAATTGTAAATGTTAAAAATGTATCTAAAACGACTAATACAAGATAATAGTATGCATTTGAAGCTTAAAAATCTTAAATACAGTTTTGAATAAATCATGTAGTTGGTAGATAATATTATATTTAGATTTGATATTATACCTATGCAATATTTTTTTTCAAATAAATGTATGCATATGCAATCTTATAACTATTTTTTTAAAAACCTAGGTAGGTACCTACTTACTTTTTGTTTTATATACAATGATTCACCAAATGTGCCCACTTAATCACCTACATTTTTCATTTAATAATGAATTTACTAAAATTCTGATTTTTGAATTTTTAATAATAGGTAATAGGTAAGTACCAGTGAACTTATTATACAAATTTCTGTATATTAAACAATAACCTCCTCTTTACTGTAATTTATTGATTGATTTATTTTTTTGTAAATTAATGTATCATGATCTCCCTAATTTAAAAGTCAAATACTTAAGTAATTTTTTAGTTATTAAAATGTTTATACTAAGGATAACAGTTCAAAAAAATAATTTTACCGAAATATAAAATTGGTGTAATATTGCATTAAGTGTTTAAGTATTATACTTGAGAATTTTTTACAAATAATCAATGTTAAACGGAAAATATAAATTACTAGTCATCTATTTATAGACCTACCATATTAAGTAGGTACAAAAAATTAAATAACTAAAAAACCACTTGTTCTAATTTTGATTCTAATAAGTTAACATTTTCTTAAAAATAAATTATGTAGTGTATTAAATTTTTATTTAATCAAATTATGAAAAAATAGGTATTAATTGAAATACTGAATTGTATCATTTGTAATAAGAACCTTTTGGTACTTTGATAAATTCATAACAAATGTATTTCAGCCTTAAATTTTAGTCAAATACTTACATGTCATACGGTATTGGATAGCTTTAATTTCTTATAAGAAACACTTAAACATTAGCTTTAGATGATTACAAGTTGATTGCTTGTTTGCTTTATTACATAATTTATAATTTTGAATAGTTTTCTAACTATATATACACAAACCTAAGAACTTATTTGACCATAATAATAAAATTCATAAAGTACTCTACTATTATTGACTAATATAAAGCAATCATGAAACATTCTGTATTTAAATTGGTGACATTTACAAAAAAAAAAAACATGAAATGTTTAAATGGTAGTAGTGGTAATGGTCATATCTATGCTGGTTTACATTAAAAATTATTTAATAAATAGTAAGCTGTAAACATAATTTAATGATCTATTAAATCAATTTTTTTAAATGAAATTTGGCATGAGTTAAAAATAATAATAAGTAAATTTCTCTTTCCTAGCAATACTAGGAAAGAGAAATTTATATAGCAATTACTTATAGCAATACAATAAGTATTGTTTTTAAAAAAAAAATTCTATGCAAATATTGTTAAATAATAATAAATATAATATACATAATATTATGCATTTTTAACCTTTGTAATAATAAAAGTAATAATTTGTTGAATTCAAATTCTATAAATAATTTATTATGAACAAAAGTTTTTAGTACAAGTTATCAAATTTATATTTTTTTTTAGATATATTTGTAATAATCATGTTCTTTAGTATTATAAATGATAATTAAATTACATAACAAATACCATTATACATTTCAATACTAACATTAAAAAATGTAATTAACTTTTATAGAACTCTTTGAGTTGTGGATCAGTGGGTTTCAATATAACTTTATCCTTTAGATTAACAACCCAACCAGGTTCTAGGCCATAAAATATTTGTCTTTGATCTTTCCTACTGACAAGCATGTTATAATCTGGATCATCTTCAATTTTAGGAAGTTTATATCCATATTTCTGAGCTAAAACAAAACGTTCCCAAGATATTTTTTCAGGATCTGCCAAATAACCGCGATTTGCTGCACTTGAATAATATAAAATTGCATCTTCAGGAGGTATCATACGTCTGGGTATTGCTTCTCCTGTAAAATAAAAACAATATAATCATAAATAAATTAAATGTACTGTTATGAATTAAACACATTATATATTATTTGTAAAGCAGTTATCAGTCGTAAAATTATATTTATGTATAACAAGGAGATACTACTACATACTGTTAGTATTTTTAAATTATGAAGCATTATAAGAATTGATTTAAAGTATTAAAAGTAAATCATGAGGAAGCAATAAATGCCTAAGTAAAAGTACCTAAAAATATATGTTGCATTATATATGAGTTAAAATTACAATACAAATAATTTATATAACAGAAAGTGTATTATCTTTGTAACTGAAATACTTAATAAGGCATTCACATATGTTGTCTGTTATATAAAATAAATGTATCATAAAGAAAATTTGTTCAATAGTTACACTTATATTGTATCGTAATCTCTTATAAAAGAATAAATTGTCCTATCATCAAATTAAAAATATTATGTGTTTTCTTATGTTATTTTTACAATATTTAAATTTTTTTAAACATGAAAAATTTTAAATTGTTTTATCTTACAGTTAAAATTAATTGTTTAAAAATTAAAATATCATAAAAAAAAATAAAAATATTATTACCTTTAAGTATAATAATAGATCAATTTACTTATTATTAAAAATAAAATACAATTTATATATTTATAATTTGTATTTATGAGCTACATGATAAATAAATTGAACGAGATTTAAATTGAAAAGGGAAGTTGCCCAATGCGCACCCAGTGAAAAAGTTTTTTGGGGAGTAGATAGGTCCCTACACTAGTTTCTTTTAGGGTATTTGAGTGGGTAACTTTATTAAAAGATTCTATACAAATTAAAACTGCTAAACACAAATTTTTGATGTTGTAAATTAGTACAATAGGGAGAACATATATTAGTGTGGTGTATTTGTAATGAAGTATTTTTGCCTTTATTTAAAATAAATACAAATAGTTTAGAATACAATTTTTTGGAATGTGTGTGGAAGTCATAAAATATCTATATAATTTACTCTACAAACCTCTCTGGAAGAACTTTTTAGGATTAATTAAAATAAATAAACTATTAACATCAAAAAATGATGTTGTTATAACTCCTCCATTTCTTTCTATAGCCGCAATTGTAGATTCACTGGTCCACTGAACTTCTATATTAATTTTTGCTTTGAAATTATCTGCACCCTAGTATTATATAAAAATATTTATTAATTAAGTTAATTTATTTATAACAATCAATACTATAAATAGGTAAATTAGGTACATAAATCTACTAAGTTTACCATAGCTAATAATGTTCATACTATATCATAGCTATAAGTATAAATTTAGAATTAGTAAAAAGCCGCCTTAATCAGAAGTATTTTAAGTATCTCAAAAAGAATAACAAATTCACTATATTATATTAATTGTGCATGGTCAGAGTTACAGTAAAACATCTACTAATAGAATGTTTATTATTTTAAGAAGAAAAAAACTTAATATTTGAATAACTATTAATAAATTAATCAGCCTAAGATAACAATAAATGACCTGATTGACTTCTTTCAATGCATCAAATAAAATAAATAAATAATATAACCATATTTAAAATTAATGTCAGTATCGTATTATATATGTATATAATATTACGTTATTATTAAAATAATATGATGTATTATATTACTATATAGTCAAATGACCCATATCATTTAAGATTTATTGAAAAAACTTACTTCGTCAACCAAATTTACTCCAAAGTGTTTATCTTCTGGATTAATGTTATACAAACCAGTATTGCACAGTACTGATAAGTCAATAGGCTTTGTGATGTCTATACGATTCAAATCAATCATTTTTTGTAAAGTGGCCAATGAAAGTGGTGGATATTGTCTTTTAACACTAAAAACAGGTTATAATCTTGGATAGAAAATTGTTTTGAATATTGCATTAAGACATTTTATAACATACTGATGATCCTTATAATATTGTTCTCTAGGAAATTTCATATAAAATGGAGTATTTCCTGTCTCATATCCAGGCCTCATAAAGTTTTGTCTAGCTTTTGATCCTTTATTACCATGACCATGTTTGTCACCTCCATGCTGGGCTCTGCCTCGTTTATTCTAAAATAAAATACATACAATATTATTTATGGTACATAGATTATAAATGGTCAAAAACGTTAAATATATTCTTTCATAAAATTCATAACATCTTATACAAACAAATCATTAATATTCAAATATTTAATAACTAATAAAATAATTAAAACTGTTTCTTCAGTACAATAAGTAAATAAAAAACCATTGTAAAAATATGTTATTAAAAATGTATTAAATGACAGATATTTTATTTCAAATAAATAATATAGTTACTTTTTTCACGGCTCCATCATTATTTCGGAGATTAGAAATAGAGAGTCTCGGTAGATTTCTCAGTAAATTCAAAATATTTTTATTTGTGAATGACGTCATTTTAATAAGTAACTTAACTAAAAATTATAAAAGTAAATGCACACAAATAGAAAAACTAATTAATCATTTTAACTTAAAATCACAAATTTTTGAACAGGCTCAATGAATATATTTATTTTTTACACAACCTATAAATTTAAGTTGTGATAAAATAAAAATTGATAACATACCTACGGTATCAGTTTATCATCATGATTATAAAGAACAGATTACGTAACGTAGGACATGATTGGATTTCTAAATAAATTAGCTTAAATTAAATTAATATCCAATATTCAAACATCACAATATTAAGTCAATTGATGAATGACAAATTGTATTTCATAAAAAAATATAGAGTACTTATCTACAACAATAGTTAGCATAATTTTTGGTTTAATTGCGTATGTTGGTTGATAGCTTAATAATAAGTATAAAGAGCTTTAAAGAAAAAAAAACGTAGGTAAGTTAAAACGTTGAAAAGTTTTGGAGAAACTTAAAATAAATGCGTGATAGGTTAGGTTTTGTTTAAAAAATTCAAAGAGCCATTTAGGTATATAATTATTTCACTTTAATTATTATAGTTAATAGGTACCTAATTTAAGTGATTATTAAATGACAAATAGGTAGGTATATATTAAATCGTACAGACATTATTACCTATACAACATTATAGCTTACTGGTTCCTTTGTTCCACCATTACAATTAAAATTAGCTAAAACCGTAGCTAGGGCTTGGCGAAACTAGCCAAGACCATAGGTGCAAAAGCAAAAATAAAATACGTCTGTATATGTTATTACATATTAGTATTAATAATATACATTTTATTAATTAAGAATATGTATAAAGTAATTACACTATAATATATTAATAGAAATCATAAATATAGGGTATAATTTTAAGTTATTCAAGATCGATTACTATTCAACATACATATTATAGGACATAGGTATAAGTATATATTTACTCGTAGTATATAAATATTATAAAATGCTTACTAATATAAAACATGACATTAATATTACATCGAGTCCGAGTGATAGTATAATACCTAGTTTTGAAAATAGATTTGTATAATTATTAAATATAAGATACATGTTAAAATAAAAAATAGGATTCAAGATTCAACTACCATTAATATACTCATATTTATTGGTAGGAATATACCTATATCTATTCATGTTTTAATATTTAATCATTTATATTTCGTAAGTTCATGAGAAAGTTCTAGAAGAAATTCGACGGTGAGTTGTTTAATATTGTCATTATATAAAATTAAATGAATTCACTTGAATTATTATAAATTGCAATCTAAGTTTTAATAAAATAATAATATATCTACATGAAATAAATATCTAGAAGGCTTTTAATAATTTGCTATTAACATTAATTGTTAGTTTTAATTTTTACTTTTATTGATCAACTTTGTATTCAAATAATATAAAAAACATTAATTTGTTGACGCATTAAAAAAAAAAAACAATAATAAAAAAAAATTAAAATAACATTCAAACATAATATATATAAATATTATTTTAAAACAAATAAAAAATGTATGTATGAAAGGGGGCTAAAAAATTTACAAGGGTGGAAATAAGTAAAATGGTTAGAGCACACAGAATCTTGCTACAGCTTTGCTGATGACAGTGATAATATAATAATTCATATGCTACTATTATTTTTACCTAGCACTGAAAAATAATACCTATGCACTAGCTATATAATAATTTTAAGCTTATACCTAGTATTTTTGTAATATAGAGTATATTTGTATAGGTTGGTATACTTACTATAATAAGTAATAAGTATATAGGTACTAGGTAGGTAGATATAATTTGAATTAATAAGTGTTAACCTACCAATTTTTTATACTTTATAGATAGATTTACTTAGTTATAAAATTCTATTTTAATAATAAACACTAGTCGTCACATTAAATTTCGCACATTACACATATTTATTATACTTTATAGAATTTCTGAAATAAAAATTAAAGATATATATTGGCAAACTACAGACACCAGTCATTCAGTCAACTTTATGCCTGATGTAGTTCGTGTGGGTCGTGGTCGTCATAGATGCCCTTTCATACAGCCTATAAACAACACATTCATACCAGCTCAATTATTTTTCTAAATTCATCATTATTTTATCATAATATTATAATATCTTATTATATAATTCAAAAAGAAAATGATTCTGTACAGCCAGTTAATATCGTTTTTAAAATGTAATGTAGTTCTTTTGGTTTATCAAGAGACAATAGTATATAGATAATCAACGTAAATATATAACGATACAGCATAACGGTTTACTTATTTACGTGTAAGTGTGCAACCCTATCAAAACATTGATATGATATATCATATACAATGTAGGTACATAATATATATTTTAATATATAATGACATAATGTAAAATTTTATAATTCGTTGAATATTGATGTTTATCATTCCAACATTTCAAAACTTATTGCAATTTAATTTCATTAAATTTCTTTAAAATATAGATAGATACCTCGGAATTTTATTATTTTTAAATTCGATTAATTTATTATTTTAAAATTTAAGTACATTTTTATAGATAATCTGCAAGCTTTAATACAATACCTAGATGTTTATTTAAATGTATCTAATTACTTGAATTTGTATTTCTCGTATTTATTTATGATAATACGGATTTCGTAATTTTAAATTGTCACCAGCATGTAGACTGTAGAGTCTTATAGTGGTATGGGTAATTTCATCTGTTATGAATATGAATTTGATTTTTTTTTGGTCTAAAGACATTACGATTCTTACGTCTATCTCTATATACAGGTGTATACAATAATGGTCCAATGAAATCAGTGAACCCAAGAATCAGTTAGAATGTTCCCTTTCCATTCTTGACGTATTGTTAAAAAAACTGGTTTCCTGTTACTTGTGTCAGGTAACGTGGGTTAACGCCCACTACATTGCTGTAACATTAACTATATAGACGTAGGTATACATGTGATGTCATAGAAGGTATTAGAAGGCTAAGGTGTATACTTTTACATTCTTTATTTAGTTCTTTACTACGGCCTGGCGCCCGTGTATGTATAAGTAATGAAAATATTATAACTGTGTGGTTTGTGTAATATTCAGTAAAAAGTTTTATGTTTAATTTTGATGATTGAAATTCAAAACTAAAGAAACATGGGTAAATATATATTGTTTTAAAAATGTTATAATATTTGTTAATTATTATTAATAATAATAAGTAATAACATAGTTATATTAGAATCGAATTAAATAGAGATAACTTACGTATTCAGCTATTTCGTAGACGTAGTGTAGATATATTCATTATATATTTAATATATATGTATATATGTATAAATTATAATTAGATTTTAACAGTTAATACCCAATATTCATTTGATATCTCAAAAATATTGCCTATTTTAAAGGCATTTAATATTGTCAGCTTAGTAACAATTTTCAAAAAGGAAAAAGAAAATTATATATAATATTGTCTTATATTTTTAAATTTATATATCCTTTAGTGACAAAATAATAATATCTATGTTTTAATTTTATAATTTTAAGTAGACTTTTTTCTGAGGATTTTGATGTACCTATAAATTATTAAGTTTAAGTAATTTTTTTTATAACTTTAAAAAAAAAAATCTTGATTTACAAACTAAATAGTAATTTTTGTCATAATTAATTAGCTGAGTATATTATACTATTTATAAACGGTATCGTGATTGTCCCGAGACAAGATCCTAGTAGTTCTACATAAATAATACATGAATGATGTATTTATTATTTATGAGTGACACAAACCATAGTCCGCGTCCGTCTAGCTATATATGAACGTAATAATTACAGTCTAGTCGTGTCTACAACGGTAATATAACCCTACTCCGGTTATTCTATATTCAAAATCTATAGTAAATAGCCAATACCATAAAATATATAAATGTATACAGTGGTGAAACGAACGTGGTGTTTGAGAAACGGTTGCTTCTCGATATTTTTTAAGATTTAGGGGTGGGTGGGTGCCAACATGAAAGTGACGAGCAATAAATGAGTATCAGTACTACTAATACTAGTATTTATTACAATTTATGTATATAAATATACTATGACTTACGAGTAATGACAATTGGCAGTAACGGCAGATGGCAGTAATAGAACTAATGAATAAATTCATATATTATGTCACAGATAAGTTTGCCATGACTTTGGATATTTAAAAAAAACAGTTGATGTATAAATAATAAATTTCATATTTTTAATTTTGTTTTTAGTTGACATAATATTACTGTGTTATTATCTAGGTTACTGTTAAACTATGTTAATATACTACTATACGAATAAAAGAACTCCCTAGTCTTATAGAATGCGATTATTTCATCATTATGTTTTATTTTCTTTAGTTTTTCCAGCAACAATAATAATAACAACAATATACAATAATATGTACAGTACATAAATTCACCTATATAATTTTATTGGTAAAAACATTAATTGAAAAAAATAAATATTTTAAGTATACTTAGTTGGTAAGTGGGTGAGTGGGTGTGTAAATTTTAGTTCACTTATGAGTTATTTTAGATTCGTTTCGCCACTGAATGTATGATAGAATAGTTTTTAGAATATTTTAACAAATAGTATTCACAAATGAGCAATAAATGTGCTTAATAAATCTCAAATTATTATGCATAGTTTTATTTTGTATCATAATATATGTGTATTAAAAAAAAGATTTTATTTTAATTAAAAAATAATGCTTAAATCTTTAAATCGAGAAATAAGCTCGATATAAGAGTTAGAAATAGAATATTTATTAGTAATTGGAGTTTTTATAAGATAAAAATGCATAAATTTATTAACATTCAAAAATAAACGATTCTTTTTACACCAAAAAAATAATAAGTTATCAGATAAGTATGTCAGATAGTACACTAATCGCATCTTGTTCAGTTTTTATAATTTTTTATAGCATCATCAGTAAAAAGAAGGATATTAGAATTTCTTAAAAACATTTATAATATATATTATAATTTATATTTATGTTCTACTATAATATTTCAAACATAACTTAAATCTAAATTGTGTTTGTGTTTTTCAGATTTATCAACAATATGTCAACTTCTTTTCTTATTCTCAATACTGGTAAACTTTTTTTTTTAACTTTTTTTTTAAATGCATACAATCTATAATCTGGTGAACTAAATGAAAACATTTTATGAATGATTGTATATTGATTTATAGTATCTTTAATATGTAATAAAATTATGTGTATATAAAATATTATTTAATTTGATTTGTTTACAAACATATTAATAATTAATGTTATGTGTTTAGAACGTAGTATTAGCTGGTGATATGATGAGGAAATCGATTGTTTACGACAAAAAAACACCCAATGTATTTTATTGTCCATTAAATAAACCTACTGGTAACTGTGTAATACAAGTATTATTTTTGTTTTCAAGTGTATATAATTATGAATAAAATTTTAGGTTTTGATAAATTGTTTGTGCATTCAAGACCACTAAAAAAATTATGCGAATTTGATGGAAAACCTTTGCCTGAAGACTACAAATCTGATTGCTTTCAAGATGTTGATGAAACTGAATATGCTTGCAAAGAAAAATATAGAATTATGGTAAGATGAAATTATTTATAAAAATATCAGTGTTTTAGTATGTTGTGAAAAAAAATTTAAAATATTAAGATTATATAGGTATCCTGTGTAGTTATTAAATTCTATATACAATATTGTGTATATTATTTATTTATTTTATACATTTACGCCTGATGATTTTAGTAAGTTAAGTAATGAAATTATATATGTATAAAAATATATTAATTAATAATTATTTATTAATGTTTTTATTAATAATATTAATAATAATAATTTAATAATTATTTGCTATAGATTGAAGTACAACATTATTAACTAGGTACAATGAAACATTGAAACTTAATCCTTAAAATTATATTAATACATGTATATAACTTTCAGAAGAGATTGTCGAAGAAACAACTGGATAGTTTATTCGGAAATAACGACTAGAATAACTCTAACAAAATAACGCTCTGTAATGTAAGAGGTTGTATAATCCTACTGATATATATATGTATATTTTTTTTTTCATTTTTGCGAATAACAATTTTTTATAAATTTTGCATGTTAATTAAAAGAAATCATTTATTTATTTAACCATGCTTATTGCTTATTAGTTATTACTTATTATTACTCAAAATTAATGTTTAGTATTATTATTTATTAGCCTTGTATAGGCGTGGCTTGGCACGAGGTGCGGTACATAAATATGATATAGGTACCTACCCCAATTATATTCCTTGCAATTTACAGGTGTCAGTTTACATACACACTATTAGGAATCTTAATAAAGTTACTTACTAAAATGTATTATATGGGAAGAAGTGGTGGAGAGGTGGGGGTCCGGTGGTTATGAAATATTATTTTAAAAAAACTGTTATTAAATTTCTCAGTTTATGGAATCCCAAAAAATGTTGTATAGTATATAATATAATATAATACATGAATATTGCAGAATACATAATATTGTGGTACAAATAATTAAAACATTTAATTTTTTTAATAAAAAATAAAATACGTTTACATGAAATGATAATACTTCAAAAATTATTTAAGACCTAACAATATAATAGGTATAAAAAGTTATTTCTGAATGGGTAAAATAATGTGCCTTTTAGGTACTATAAATTTAAGCTAGTTAAAAATAATAATATTAACGATTTTAATATATTATCCCAAATTATTATAGACAGCTATACTTAAAATTGTAAAAACCAAATAACGTGACTTACATAAATAATAATAAATAACATGTATTTTATATTATTATATTACAACATTTTTACACACAAACATACCTATAATAGTAGTAAAGTATGACCTAGGTACTCAACCTACCTAATATTACTTAAATTAAACATTGAATAAGAATTATTGCTTGTATTCTATATTAAGTGGTACCTATGTATACCTATGTATTTACATGAAGTTTCATCGCTGAATGGATTCTTCAATAAAGTTACCTATATATCTCCTTTTATCCTATACATCACGTATAGGTACTTATATGTAAAAATATTTACTTACAGACTGTATAAAAACAATTAAAAAAAAGTATGTATTTAGCTATACCTTTAATGGATATAATTATATTCCTAGCTACTTGTATACAAATTAATATTAGTATTAATTAACAATTTATAATTAAAATAAAATAAAGGAATGCTTAACAAATAATTATACTTGAATTTAAATTTTGTATTTAAAAATTCTAAACAAATAATTTGCATATACAGTAGACGCCCGCCGCTAATAAGACTCACGAATATAAGGTTCAGTCGCTTATTAGACTCAAAATCGTCTGGAACGGTCCGGACCAAATACATTAAAAAAAAATCGGTTTTAAGACTCAACACTTCGGTTATAAGACTCAAATTTCGTAAAATAAATAGTAAAAAATAAACTTTTTTGGTTATAATTTAGAAATGTAATTGGATGAAAAATATAAAGATATAGTGTTGATTATACCTTATAACGCACAGCAGACTTTATCCAGATAAAGTTCATATTATCGCAACGATAATTATAACGATTATAATTTTAGTTTTTATCAGGATTATTAAATTTATTAATAATAAGTAGTATGTAATATGTGTTAATTATTAAATCAAGCAAATATGTAGTGAAAATAAATTTATAAATACATAATTTTTTTCCACTTCGCCTATAAGATTCATTCGGTTATAAGACTCACTTTGTGCTAGTGAGTCTTATAAGCGGCGTCTACTGTAAATGCTAATAAAATAATTATTATTATCAGTTCAAAAATAGTCTTCTAGCAAATACATTTATCTTCTTTAAGTTCTTTAGCTTATTTGATATTAGTATTTTATTTTTTACTGTTACTATATAGTGTTACTGTTTGAAATCTAAAAAATATAATAATATATTTTTCAGATGCGTCTTCACCCACCTGGTACCGAAAACGACAAAGAGAGTACAAAATGGGAAAAAGCTTATAAAAAAGTTGTTAGAAAACGTAAGAGACAACAATCACAATAAATAGTTTTACATGATGATATTAAATATTAAATAATAAACGGAATACTTAGATACTTAATTTATAATATCTTAGATTACAAATAAAAAAAATAATAACACTGTGTATAAAAATGGGTGCTGCAATAAATATTAATATAATTTTATTTTTTTGTAATAATGTTATTTATATTATATTATAAACAAATTTAATACAGTTGTAACTCCTAATATTTTTTTTTTTACTTTTATACATCTCAAATACAATAAATTGTTATTTATAAAAATAATAAAAAAAATTATTTATTTACTATGATTATTTGTATATACCTGTGTGTAAATAATAAAGTTATTGTTATTTTATTATATCTATCAGAAAGTACAAATGAAAATAGAGAATACTTTGAAATACTCTAAATAGTCTAAATGTTTCATCATAAATCAATTGAAAATTGTGCATTTATACTTAAAAATTTTCTCTTGAAATTTTCAGTAGTTTTCCAAAAATTTATTAAAATTTTATGCCACATATTCACACGTGTATTGTGATACAACTGACCACATACAATTACATTGGTATTTTACCTTTTTGTATTTATATATTATGTTGGTTTGAATGTAGATACCTACCACTGATAATCAAAAAAATCAGGTAAAAAGTAACTGCTCTACTTTTGCTGTTGGTACACTTTAGTGTCGAGTGTAACTCATATCGATGTCACCATTGAGTAGGTCACTGTAATATGATTAATGAATATATCAAATTTAAATTAAATAACTAGGTACCTAACCATTCCATGCGAAAAATGATACTGAGCGGAGATGGATGGTCAACTTATAAGTTATAAGCATATTATACTACCAATATAATAGGTACATTCGTACATTGCTATTATTTTAATTAATTTTAGTATTATTAATACGGTAGGGTGAATTAATTTTTGTAACAAAATATCGTATTTATACAAAATTATTATTACCTACCTATCTAACAGATATTTATAAGTATTTAATATTTCTATAGTATATTATTGTTATTAATTGAGTCAAAACTAGTAGCAACTTAACATAGAATGATGTGAATAGGTATAACTGGTATAAGTTCATGGAATAATTAGGCAATACCTTAGAATTAATCTAAATATTTTGAAAATTTTATCCGTAAAGTAAAATAGAATAATGATCGTAAAATAGTTAAGTCCACACAAATAATATTTTTGAGATACAACAAAATAACTAAAATCGTTCTTCTCCGTTTAAATAGTTAAATAATTTTGTGAACATTTTTACTTCAAACGTTAATAAAAAGAAACAGTGCTAATACATTTTCAATTTTTTTAATTTTCACAAAATAATAATAATGGCCAATACCTGAAACGGCTGAAACAATGGATATTATAAAAAAAACAGCTCTTATCTCAACATCATCAATTCTAAAAATTGATTTATCCTAGTTAAGCTCTATTGGTCACTATTCTTGACCTATATTTCGAGTCTTGAAATTGAAATCAATACTGATAATCCGTTTAAATAATTATTGATGATTCTGTCACAAAATTTAGTCTTTTATAAGAATGACTAAAAAACAATTGGATAATCAAACAAATAACAAAAAAAAAAAAAAAACAATTAGGTGGAATGGTGAAATTAAACAATGTATAATAAAATAAAAAACAAAGCTCTTAAGACAGTTATAAGAACTTAATTACTAGACAACAAAGCCAGATTAAGGTAATAATTGGCACAAAGTTTTACCATTTTTAGGGGCTCTATAATTTTACAAGAAAACATTTATATATATATTTGTTTATTAATATTTTGGAGCTTTCAATTTTAAGGAGCTTTGGGCTATAGCTCTCTCAGCATCTCCTTAATTTGGCACTGCTAGACGATCATATCAATAACTAAGAACCAAAAGTTATTTTGATTAAAAGCAAAAAAAAATAAATAAACTAGGTCTCTTAGCGTAACTTGCCAAGCACTATCATAATTGAAGTTAATACACAGTTCTGAACAAAATTTGTTCATTATAAGGATGGAAAACATGTATAAAACAATACATATTAACTTATAAAATAATATATTATATATACAATATACTGCATAGTTAGATATAATACCTAACTAGATGTAAAGATTTTAATTAAATTATATTATATAAGCTGATTATATACTGTATTCAATAAGGTGAAAAATTATAGATTCAAATGCTTTTAATTTTTATCTATAATAAATTTAGATTTATGAGGTTATTGTTGAGTTACATACAAAATTATTAATTTATTAGTAATTAATAAATTAAATAAATTTAATGAACTAATCATAGAACTCTAAATCATATTTAAAGTACCACTAGCTTACTATTGATTTATTAAATTATGTTTAGTGATTGTTTATACAATCCATATGAATACTTAGTTATTATTCTTACTACAGAGATAGGTGATCAAGTTAAAAACAGCAATGAACACATAAGTTTTTATAATATCAATGATAAAAAATTGATTGAGTATAAATAATTAAAATAGGAATATAATAGAATTGTATACGTTATATAAAGTGATTCATAAACATTTTACACTTAATCTAAGCATTATAATTTTTTTTTTTTTTTTTAATTTAAATTTAAAAGTCTATAAATATTTAGATTTTGAGTAAAATAGTATACTTTTTAAATTAAAAAAAAAATATATAATACTTAAATAAGATATTGCTTATACTCTATCTCTTATAAAAGTAATCTTGGATATTTATTGATTTTTATCTGATTCAGTCAAACCAAACCCCTTGATAAATAGGTTTTGGTCATCAGTTATCATTTCTAAAGATTAGCGGCTGCTAAAAAAAAATGTTTTATATAAATCTATGCAAAATATAAGCAAGTGATTATTAGAAGTAACTATTTCAAGAGAGCAATACTCTTTATACACTACAAATTATCTCCACTGCTATGCACAAAAACCGGTGATTTAAGTTACTTTTATTTGAGACAGAGTATATAGGAATAGTTTATAGTAAAAAAATCACCCTGAATATTATGGAATAATAATTGGAATTATATTGAATATAGGTAATAAACTCTTATTATACTTTTTAGCATAAAAGAGTGATATTGCCATTATCAGCACCAAGTAATAGTAGTTGATTAAGACTTAGTACTGACATTGTAGTTAAGACTCCTTTAAATGTGTCAGCTCTTATTTTAGTAGAGGAAAATGATGCTTCACTGGTAAATCCTGTATGTATTCCTATACGATTGGCAGTAGTACCAGAAATCAGTTCATTTCCATGAAGGCCTAAACAATGGACTGGTTCAGGTGACCCTCTGTAAAAGAAAAATAACAGTTACAAAAATTCATAATATATTCAATATTATTTGGATAATTATTAATAATAATTTACCTACCTCATATTATAAATCAGATTGCCATTTGAAACATTCCAAACAGACAATGATTGGTCAAGAGATGAGCTGACAATTGTATTGGAATCTACAGCTAACAATTGCAATACCTATAAAATAAAACTATGAATAAAGAAGAAATTAATTTTTTTAATTATCTATTACTTCTCCTTCATGAGCTTTCCAGTTGGCCAACGCTTGGCCAGTTCGCAAATCAATAACAGTTAAATAACCAGATGACTGACCAACAGCAACCCAGTGAGCATTAGTGGGTACAGCAATGCTTCTTATGAGGCCAGTGGCATTTACAGATATCTAAAAAGAAAATTGCATAAATTATTAATTAACTAATACAAACATATAGAATATATGATTAAAGTTCTCACTTTAAGTTCTGCTACAGACTTTCCATTCCTAGGATCAATAGAATGTAAGGTTGGATGTGTAGAGGCAGCTAATATATTTGGATGAGGAGTGGGTAGACATTTAAGAATATTAACAGGTATACTATTCATTGAGCTTAAGAGACGTCCACCACACCAAGGATCCCAAACATGTATTGAAGAATCACAGGATGCGACCATTCTAAATTTTTCCAAGTACGCAACCGATAATACAGATTTACGGTGTCTAGAATAAGTGTATTGACACTGTGATACACCATTTCCGTCACCCTAGAAAATATGCTAATTAAATATTTACTCAATATGTATAAAATTATGAGATAAAAAAGATATTTTTACTTGATTTCTTAAAGACCAAAGTTTAACAGTCTTGTCACGACTAGAGCTTATAAAGCTATTTTCATTATCAAGAACACTTAAAGACTTTACAGTGGATTGATGACCACTAAATGTTTGTAACTTGATTTGTTTAAAATTAAAACAAGTATCACGACTATTACGGCCAATTTCATGTTCCCAATATGCTAACCAGTTTCCTCTTAAGTGTCTGTTTAAAAATAAATATTAACATTTTTTTATTTTATTTTATTTGTATTTTAAACTAATTTTAGACAATAAATATTGAATTCTTAGTGGAGCAAATATACTAATATGTGTTTTTCTAGTCATCACTCATCACTTTTTGAAGCAGGAAAATAGTTCAACTATAGGAGTTATTTTTTGTGACAGAGTGGATCTATATTGTTTACTTTTGAAACCAAAAGTAAAAGAATCTAAGTAACTTTTAAGATAATAGTGGGAGAAAAACATTAAAGAAAAACAGTATTTTTTTATGTATAACTCGATAAAAACTCGATGTAATAAATCGATTATTTTTTTTAGTACAACGCAATTTATAGTTTAAAGCGTTAGGTTAAAATATTTATAAAATTTATTAAAATTCCAAAATATCATTAAATTTTTAATATTTATTCCTAAGGTTTGAAAAATTAATAAACAGTTTACCATAAAAATTCCATACTGTAACCAAAAAATCTAAAAATATATAAACCCACTGATTTTAATATGTATTTTTACTTCAAATTTATATGAAATTAGATATTTAAAAAAAAAAAAAAAAACAATAATTTTATAAAAAAAATTAATTATTTTGTTTTAATAAAAGACGTAATACATGGATACTTGAAAATATAATAAATTTTCAAGTATAATGTTTATAGCAAAAATTAATTAAATTTACTGTACCTATTAATAGTATTAAAATATATTACTTTAACAGCAACATAATTAATATAAAATAAAATAGACTTAAAAATATAGATTGACAGTTAGTTTTTACTAAGAATCATTTTTTGTGTGTAATGATT